ACTGCAGCCCGTCTTCTGCACTCCACTTTTCTTTAACGGCTCAGCGTAGACTGTTTAGATATTAACATCTTTTTTTTTTTTTTTGCTTTCGTCTTTTCTTGAATACCATAAATACCGACCGGATTCGATTCTGCCATGAACCCTTCAAGAGCATCTCTCGTCTCGTGTTTTTCCTTTTTCTCTAGTTGCTTTTAACGGTTCCAATTTTATATGGGCTTTTGTGATTATAATTATATTACATACATATCGATATAGTACACACATAACACACCCACATACATACATACATAACACCATTGACATATGTTATGTTAACCTAATCTTTTATACACGTTATTATAAATACTGCAGCCCGTCTTCTGCACTCCACTTTTCTTTAACGGCTCAGCGTAGACTGTTTAGATATTAACATCTTTTTTTTGTTTTTTTTCTTATTATTTTGTTTTTACTTCTCTTTTTATAATTCTCTCAAAGACAGCTTTTTCCTTTTTCATTACAACACCACTTTTTGAAAATTTATTTTGATAACGATAATATAGACAAGCGATCATGGATTCCTCAGCGGCAATTGCACAGAACATTGTTGCTCCCCATAAACCAGTGAGCATCCACGTTCCTCATCCCTCATCGGTTCTCCACTACTCCACCACCACCACCACATCATCACATTCTCTGAAATCCACTCTATCATTTCCCCTAAATCAACGTCAACATCACAACTTCTTATTCTTCTCCCCGTCGTCACCTTTCCTGAAGAACTCGTCCGACAATAGCGATACCGATGATGACGAGGAGGAGGAGGAGGAGGAGGAGGGACTGGGCGACAGTGATGACCAAATCGATGATGACTCGGACGCGGAGGTAGATTACATGTACTCCCCGTTCGGTCGTCCCCCCTCGAGATTGGGTCACCGTGTCCTCTCTGCTGCGAGAAAGCAGAGTTCAAACATAAGACGCAATAAAAATCACATCTCCATAGAGAGGTTAAAGGTTGATAACTCATTCCTAAGGAATCAGAACGTCAAACTTTCCCTAGAACTTGAACACTCCAGATCAACCATTCAGGCCTTGAAAAACATTGTCAACCAGAAAGATTTGGTTTTGCAAAATATCCGTAACGAGAATCAAAACGCCATACTCAAGATTAGAATTTTGGAAACCTTGGTGATGAGCAAGCATGCAAAGGACGGTAGCATCATTCTCAGAAGTGGTGGGGGTGAAAAGGATGGTGGCAACGTTATGGTGGTGAATGAATCGGACGACAGAGCAAAGGAATCTGTTGTTGATTCTGTCCCGAATAAAGAATCGCCGTCGCCCATGAAACAGACTCGTCAAAAGCAAACGAAACAGCCACCGCAGTCCACGTTGGTCACCCCACAACAGCCCTCATCCAAATCCTCAACGGAAAATCCGCCCACCTCTCAACAACCTCAAATAACAGCCTCGTCATCCGACCATCAGAAGCCACAACCATCCCTATCACTTTTACCCAAACGACAGAAGCATCAGAGACGTTGGTCAATGGATTTTGGACCTCGCAATTCACTAGCGAACGAGGATGGATCGTCGGATGAGCTGGAAATCACGTCTGTGTCCTCGAATCGTCACACGGTCTCACCTAATTCTTCAACAATTTGCGTCAGTGGTCGGCAATCGACGTCCTCGTCGCGCAAGGTGCCTCGACTAATTAAACGCAAGACAGGCGACATCATCCAATCATTGGCGTCATGTCGTCCCACAAGTACCAAAAACGGATATGATTATTCTCCACCTGCTACGCCGACGTTGGTCAGAAGTGATACGAGCGACGATGAAGATGGTGATCAGGGCGAAGAGGAAATAGAATGCGAGGATATCGACGAAAAGTTGCAAAAACAAAGAAAATTGGGGCAACGCTTGTTCAACAGGATATTCTCGTCATCGTCTTCTACGACGGCCGCCGCACGTGGACCGTTAAGTTGCTAGCATTCGGAAAACCGATTATATTTCCGAAGTACCCGTGAAAAATAATAATAATATACATACTTATACATAGTATCTTTGTAAATACTTTTATTTGAATAAAAAAAAACGATCAGCGATTGTTGTCAATACCTGCCTAATACACCCCCCCTTATTAAAAAAAAAAAAAAAAAAAAAAAGGAAATTTCTTGCTTATTCTCTTTATTAATTATACGACAATACGTTAACGCAAGCTGGCAAACTAACGACGAACGAACAAACACGAATGAACACACGAGTCAAAATAACGAACGGAACGAAAGCGAAACGAAACGAAACGAACCAATGACGATTTTACCATTCAACTCAATTGTAACTCAAACAAGTAAGAATCACCGAATTCGTCGAATTCATTCTTGCAACGGAACGCTAATCGGATGATGAAAAAAATTTTTTCCTCCCCAACATTATTCTTCCAATGAAAAAAAAAAAGAAATGTTACCGAAGATTATGAAAGAACCCGCTTATGGATATTTGGAAGAACGCTTCATACCATATCCGTCATCCTAAAATGTTATCACGACGAATATGCATAGAAGTATTTGACATTGAATGAACACTTTAATGGCAAACGAGCATCATGATGAATGGACACTTTAATGAACCCCTTTAATAATATAATGAATGAATGAAATGCCATTTTTCCATATCACCACTCACCCAAACACTCATCATCATACTAAGTGACAAGAGAACCCCATACTCACAATAAGTAGCATCACCTTTTTTTTTTCACTTCTTTTCAAAAATTATTGTCTTGTTTCCCTATTTCGAAAATGGAAGGATCCGAACTTTCCTCAAATGGTCTTGTTGAACCGAGAGTGTGACTCTCGTTGGTGGAGGAAAGGAAATTGCCGGATAAATTTCTTCGCCGAGCGTCCCACGGGACGACCTATTTTAATTTCCACCTTAGGCCACTTTAAGTGATCACCACCATTTTTTATTATTATGTTACTATGTTCGTCTCGAAGGATTTCTTAATTAATTCCCACCCCGAATTGATAATCAATAATAATGGTTTACTTTTTTCTTACACTTCAATCACAACTTAATATTTACTTACGGCATTATGATTTCTTTTTTCTTTTTTTTTTTTTTTAATGACTCACAATCAGAAGCCAATACCAAAAAAAAGCATTGTAGGACACATCATCGCAGCACACACACCCCAAAACATTAGGATAATAACACAAGAAAAAAAAAAAAAAAAATTTTTTTTTCTCCCTCATGTTGAATACTTTATCAGTGTATATATGTAGATACAATCTTCTTTTCCCTATATACCCTTTGTTTGTTCCTTTTGATTTTTTTTTGTTGATATATTTTTTTTTTTTTCTGTTCTTCTGTTAGATATATACATATATATATATATAATTTTGGTTATATCCACACTTTTTGTCGAAAGCTTTAAAAAAATATATATATTTTTTTTCATGTCATTTTCGCTTGCGAACTTTGCTATGGGTAATTTTCTTTGGTTTTTTTTTTCTCTCCGTTTTTTCTCTCCTCCCTTTTTTTTTTTTTTTTGTTGTTTTTTTTTTTCTACAAATCGCATTCTTGCATCATTTAAAGTAAAAAAAATAAAATCTTGGTTCGGAAAAAAAAAAGAAGAGAGGATTGCACGTGATTTCCGGGTTTTCCTGCACCATGATAAGGCACGCTTTAAACCAATAAAGCGATCTCTTGTTTTATCTTCACTCTCGAGCTCACTCGATTCGCTTAGTTATTGCATTGTGTGCGACCATGTGTCGTTTAATTAAACGACGACGCGCGTGATACTCCCGTGGCGCGGCGAACATTGGTCATGTGATGTCACTTTCGAACAAGCGTGAAATCCCTTCGTCGACACCTCATTCTTCTTCCCTGTCATACCTCGTCAGACTTGAAACAAGTGGCTAAGCGGCTGCATTTGAGGGAGGGGTTTTGGATGTGGGCTTTCAAATTAGGCGAAATTGCATGTACAATACAATGGAATTAATTGTGTAATTTCTCCTTTTTGATCTCTTTTCGTCTGTTTATTTGCATTTACGCCTGATTTGTGAATATTTGTGGGATGGGATATCGAGGATGAAGTGATTCTGACGCGGGATTTCAGCGGGGCTGGTTTTTTTTTTTTTTTTTTTTTTACGTGATCGTTGCGGAGATTCGTGCATTGGAAATTATTGTTGTCATCATCATTGTCGTTGCCTTTGTTTTATTTATTATTTTGTGATTGTTTTAATTTTCGATCTTCTTCAAATGAAAATCTGCTTCTCACCTCCGTAAATACTCGCTGCAAAAAATGCAACAGATATTCGGGGTAAATCGAAATTTTCCAAACCACCCAAATAATCACAGGTGTCGCATTTTTAATTAAGACTAATTCGGCATAACATCACGAATCCTATTCGCCCGATGTTCTCTTTGGGTGATCACCCGAATTTGGTTGCGCATCGAGGATTTTCGAGAACGTCAACGAGAAAGAGGATTTATATGAAGAAAGAGGGAAGTTTGTAGTAGAAAAGGATGCGAAGCTGTGTGCACGACGTTCATTATTTTGTATTCACATGGTTGTTTATTAAGGTGCGTCGCACATTCTACGTGTATGCGTTCATGTACATACTGTACATGCACGATTACCTCTTTTTCTTTTCTTTTTTTTTTTCGGATTTTTTTTTTTTTTTTTGTGCTTAAGGTTTTAATACTAAGTATTTAGTGTGAGGGCAATTAATATAGACATATGGATTTCACATGATTTATTTATTATAGGGGAACTAGGTTACCGTGTTTTGTGTGCGATCGAAGAGAAAAAAAAAAAAAAAAAAAAGGCCGCACGCATGTTGTAAAAGGATGGGAGAAAGTGTCGAAATAAGGCAAAAAATCGTCCGCGGTCATCGACCGAAGGAAGGTTATCTCATCAGTGATTATGGACCAACCCGTTCACCTATCCTATCAACGTGCACACAATTTTGTTATTCAAAACAAATGACAGTTGTTTGTTCACGGCATGGCATTTTTCGTATATCACCCATTATGTGGAAACTCATCAACCTGTTCCTCAACAGGATCTCGACCCCATAAAGATTTTGCCTATTGTCTCTGGTCAATCTTAACAGCGATTCTTGTATCTGGTGTGTTTTGATTAAAGGAAGTTGACAAATGCCTATTGTCTCTGGCTCAAACCTTAGCGCCAAAATGGTCGGCGAATTATAAAGTGTTACATTTGACAACGTAGGCGAACAAGTATACCTATTGTCTCAATAAAAATTTTTAATGAATCGACTTTTAATTAGTGACATGTTACGCACCGTATCATGGTTGATAATTGATCCAGCACGCATCTTCGTATAAAGTATGTGTGATGGATTTGCATGTGGAAAAAAGATTATGTAAATTTTGTAAATAAAGGCGCATAGTAGGTGTAGCACATGTTTATTAGGTATACGCAAATGAACTCTAGGGAAGTGATAATTTATATAATACGAATCGGCACTCAATTGTTTTTTTGTGTGGGTGGACTAAGAATCATTAAACACTTAGTGGTGGATCCTAATATCACGATAATTAGGATGGCATGACCTATTGTGCCTACTGGGGTTTGTTGGCTTGTCCAATGTACTTGTGGTACCTCTACCTGGAGTTTGTTATTAGTCGAGAGAATGTTTACCTTCGTGTTTCTTCTCTTTTCTTTTTTCTTTTTTTGTCTTCTTTCGAAAATTATTCGCTTGTTATTTATTTATTTATTCTATCTTAAACTTTATTTTTATTCACTCTATTTTACTTTTATTTATTTATTTATTATTTTTTTATTAACATTTTTTATTAACATTTTTTATTTTAGCATGCTGATTCATTCATTCATTTATTCATTCATTCATTCATTCATTCATTCATTTTTTTTGTGATGAAACCCATATGGTCGTCGCTTGAATCGAGTGAATGGTGACCCTTGTGATTCAATTGGTCTAATTCCGAGGTCACATTGATTCGATCAGGTTATTTGCTCTTTTTCAACTGTATTGTCTATGGCACGCAGATTGCGTGATGTTGAAACTCTTCTTCTTTCATCGGATGCTTTCGTTGATCTCGGTTGTTGCAACTTACATACATTGAAAAAATGCGAATGAAGATTCGAGTTCATCTTTTGAATTCATCTGATAATGATAATTGTGTTTATCTTAATTTGTCCTCGTTACCGTCGATTCGTCGATTCCGGTGTTCTAGATCACACTCATCGTCAAAGTTTGTACATCACATCGCATCATACGTATACGGTATTTCGGCGCCAATATTATTATTTTTATTCTCTTTCAAACTCAATCTTTTGTTTATTTTATTTTATTGCACCTTGGTGAAGAAGTGACGTCCTGTTCAATCGATACATGTATGGCATGCATGGGATGTCATTGGATCTAGTAAAGAGAATCATCAAGTTTTGTCACAAACATACTGTATTAATTACCCAAGGACATCATCACTAGTTATTTACATGCGTGCTACAAGTAATAAAATGATGTTTTTGAAAATGATTGTTCCCCATTCCCTTGATCCCGTACACACTTATGTTGGCGTGAAAATCGTAAACTTGTACATCATGTGTTCTTTCATATGAGATTCCTTTTATTGGGAGAATGAGTCTTTAAAAAAAAAAAAAAAGAATTCCCTGTCCATTCTCTTAAACCTTCTGGTTCCCATTGATCCCGCACGTATGATTTCACAAACTTGACGTACAGTATATCATGTCTCGACAGTCCATTCAAATAATTGGTTTTCCAAATGAGATTGTGTCCCATTAAGGCGAGACGTTGCATCTCACCTTCCTTCTCACCTTTACTACCCGAACGAATTGCCATTGACGCGCATGAGGTCATTGGGGTGATTACCTTCCAAATTTGCTTCACCGGATTGACTCCCCTCAGACAGTGTGCCATTTCCAGATTCCATTAATGGAGAATGCGTAGAAGGTCGATTAAATATTTGGCACT